CATGCGTCTTCGAACCCCTTGGATTGACGTAACGGAATCACAAAGAACTGTACCAGATTGCTTTTTAATAGAGTTCACCCCCTGCAAGGCGGTAAAGCCACTAAGACACAAAGGGTTACTGGGTTACTCCTCTTTTGTCTTTTCCTTGTAACGGCTCTATATCATTCATAATCTCTTTCTTTCTCGGCCGTTTTCAATTTGTTTCTAGTTTTATTTCCTTCCCTCTTTTTATCTTACTATTCGCCCTTACTCTCTCCCTCCGTCTTCTACCTTCTCGCCTCTCGTCCTCTTCTCTGCCATTTTCCTCCGCCTACTACTACTGGATGGATCGATTTCATAGCCGACCGTCCAGCATCAATGACGTGACAATCTGAGTCTAGAATTAATCTCTTTAAATCTCCTGCGCTAATGCCTTCACGAAAGGCACAAAATGCTGATCCATCGAATCAAGAATGCCTCAAATACAAATACAATCCCAAAAGTAAAATTAGCTTGAAAACTGAAAGAATGGAAAAAATCTTTTAATCATCTGAGAGAAGCCTTTTTACATTCCATCTTGTTGAGGTAAGTTATTATATATGACCATTTGTAGATGTCTGTTAACATGACCTCACGATTTATATTTAACGCAAAATACCACAAAATATGAAACACAAGAAGGAACAAAAACAGTTTTTATAACAACAATTATATTTATTTTTTGTGTAATGAAGTACATGCATAAAAGTTAATATTTTGTTGGTGTTGTGTCCCTTTGACCGAATTAAATTTTCACTGATGAAATGGAAATATTTTTATCTGAGCTCACAAAAGTTGAGCGTCCTGGGTATGGCGATAAACTACATCCGCGTCCTGGGTAAGACGACAAACTATGTCCAACACCAAGGCCTCTGATCAGGAGGTTTTTAGAAGAGTGGAACCACCTCTTAATTGCTGGTGTTTCCAGGTTCACCCTGACCCAGGGTGGTAGCACCTGTTAGGGTTCCTGCTATAGGCAAATAGTTAACCCTCAAACTGGGGTCAAAACACTATGAAAGTGTAAAAATAGGTTTTAATACCAGTAATACATTTTTGTAAAAATATCACCAGCAATAAAAAATCTTGTCGGTATTAAATAACTCATTGAGGTTGATAAGCCGTAAAACAGACCAAACCAAACCAAACTAAATTGACTGCGCGGACTTATCTCAATGAGAATATACCAGAAAGATGGATCGGACATGCCGGTGATAATGACAATGGGCTGTTGAAATGGCTACCACAATCACCTGATTTAACATCTTGTTATTTTTTTCTATGAGGCGATGTGAAAGGACAGGTTTGTATCCCCCTGTCCCTACAAGCGTAGAGGAACTTAAGCAGAGAATCACTGAGGTGTTGGAGAATGCTACGCAAGACATGCTACAGCGTGTTTGGTAGGAGCTGGACTACCGACTTGACGTGTGCGCATATTGAACTTTGGGAAATCGAGTGGGGCACACACGGGAGAGCAAACAGGTGGTGCTTCTACTGAAGCTTTGTGAAATCGGTTACAAAATCTACATCCCTTTAAATATCGTGATCGAATTTTGATAAATAAATCTTTTATTGTTCAACATGAAGTTTATTTAATTTCGCTTACCTGGGATATGCAGTTACTGAGATATTCACATTTTAAATTATGTATTTTTTGGAGGTGACACCCAGTATATCTATTGACTTCTGTCAATTTTATAAAACGCACTTGTTAAGTATAAAGTCTGTTTTTTTTTCTCTTCATTCCAATGACCAACTACATTGAATCAATAGCTGCATCTACTGCAAGGAAAGTCGGTTCACTGTGTCGTGCCAGAAGGATCTTCTCATCAGAGGCCATCCTACACATCTACAAATCACCATTCGTCCATGCATTGAATATTGTTGCCATATCTGGTCTGGTGTGCCTTCCGTTCATCTTGAGGTTCTTGAGAAAATCCAAAGAAGCCTCTGCAATATAATCGGTCCTGACTTGACATTTCGACTTCAGTCATTTTCTTCTGATGTCTCTATCTTTTCTACAAATATTTTAACGGAAACTGTTCTCTCACTAAATGAATTTAAGCGTCTTATTAAATTGGCATCTTTTACTGCTGAAATAGTTAAATGCAACCGCCACTTCTACTCCAGCAGTTTCTTTTCTCGCGCTTCCCGACATTGGAACTCCCTTCCCCTTACTTGCTTCCCTGATAACTACAATCTTCAAAAATTTAAATGCAATGTCAATCGCCATCTCCTTTTGCCTCGATTCCCGTTCTTCGTTTATCCTTTCCTCAATCCCCGCTACACATTTCTTTTCTCTCACTTTCACTCTCTTTAACCCCTGCGGGCTAGTGGTACTCTCGCCATGCTTGGGGAGAAATGCTTAAAAAAAAGATAATACCTTTGACGGAAGATACATCACATCGTTGCTAAATTTAGACTTTCTGTATATCCTGTCTACATTATTGTTTTCTTAATTCTCCCAGATTATAAAGACTTTTGGGTAGGATTTTCTATCACTCTACTGGATCAGAAAACGCAATGCAGTCTGTATTAGTGCGCTTCTATGGACATCCACTTAGAAAGGTAAAAAAGTTATTTTACCTCGGCCTCAAAGTTATTTCTGTTTGATAGACCAGCGGTTGAGTCTTTTTTTTAAATTCGGTCTTCTAAATGGCATCAAATTTAATCAAACATTAATGGGGTGTAAATGGGGTGAGGGATGAAGGATTTTCCCGGTTCAGGTGACAACACAACCGCAAATAGGTTATATCCTGGTGCTGGTCTATATTAATTGCCATTCTTGGGATCACGGAGGGTGCTGGATCTTCATTGGCGGGAAACGAACATGTTCGTATGGCGATTGCTAACCTTCTATTTCGTATTGCCAGCCACTACATCGGGATGAGTAGATTGGCGAGGAGTTGGCCAGGGGAAGAGCTGACATAGCAGCAGTTGTCCCAAGTATCGCCTACCCACCCATCCGAACGAGCAGGCGATGTCCTGAATAAAACTCCTGAATATAATAATGGAAAAAGGGTTCGCGTTCTTCTTTCTCTACGTGGCATTTGTCTTTTATCGTGTCATTTTTTGAGCATACAGCATACAGTCCCCCAGCTTGGTGCTCACCAACAAGATTGAGAATCTAAATGCAATGGGGGCTAATCAGTACACGGTCTGTGGAAAGCTTGCACAAGGGTCACATTGTATGTTTACAGCCTAACTTCTTTTGAGTGCAAAAAGTGATGCTTTGTTTTTTTTTGTTTTTTTTTTTGTTGCTTTTTTTTGCGATCAAGTGACAACAAAACCGGAAATAGGGTATATCCGGTGGCTGGTTTATGCTAACAGTCATATTTTGGATCGGTCAGAGTTCTGGTCCACTCCTGGTGGGAGACGGACGTGTCCGTGTTGCTGTTCCGGGGCCTTCATTTCGTATTGCCATTAGTAGAGTGAAGGGCCCGTATCATTCGGTGGGTTCCCATGGGACCTTTGCGCCGACACTCCTGAGACCTACACTCTTCACTCGCTCAAAGCCATTTTTAACCATCGATCTGAGACAGTGGTTGTATTCAGCTGACAGTTTAGATATTTCTGAATAAGTTTGGCGCCATTTATGACGGTTCATATGTAAGTCTCGGAAAGTTCATTAGAACAATTACCATGAAAGTATTTATAGAAAAAGCACAGGGAAGCTACGTAACGGCGGTGGCAAAGGAACTGGAACCGAGATGCCAGGTCAGGACCGATAACATTGCAGATTTTTCTTTGAATTTTTATCAAGAATCTCTAAATGCATAGCAAAGCACCACTCCAGATGTGACAGCAATATTCAAAGCAAGGACAAATGGTAGACTTATAAATATGTAAGATAGAACACTTCTTGCAACAATTGGTAGAGGATGACGGTTTTCTGTTCAAAATCATTCTTTTTCCAACCTGAATATCTATGCCATCGACATAGCCAGCCCTCATCATCGGCACATTGGCCTCGGGAGGGAAAGCAGGATCGTTGTCTTCAATTCGTAGATTCGTTTAGGATGTGGTATAGAATTCTTAAATGATTATTGCCCATCTCTACACATTTGTGCTTGTAAATACGCATGGCATAGTCTAGGAAATGATTAAATAGACTCGGTTGAGAAATATGAGGCAAACTGTATCTAATATTACCAGACGGATTATAGAATACTAATAGGAGTAGATAGGTTCGCCTATCACCCGGTTCACACTCCTCCTCGGTCTATTGACCAGAAATAGAAATTTATCCTTTGTTTCCTGTTTAGGATTGGGTTTCCGGTTCCTTCTAAAGTCTTCTTCAGCTCTATACTCATAACTCTTGTCCTTTCCTGCGCTAATATGAGCCCCCGCAATAAACCTCTACTTCGAGTGGCTCTCGTGATCTTTTTAGGGTAAACATTAGTAAAAAAAAAAAAAAAACCACTGCATTATTGGAAGAAGAAAGAATGCTTCATCAAAAAAAAAAAATCGACTTGTCCTTTCTTTTGAAATTACCTCCCTTTGTTATTTTGTGGCTGTGGTATGCTATGTTTTCTCTCCAGCGGCCATAGCGAAGTAATTAACGCGAGTTGCAAACGTTTTAATGTCAACTTGGCAACCGAACGCCCATTCATTTTCTCGCATAACCTGAATAAAAGGAAGTCACTTGCTCATATTTTATACAATTGGCGTCAATCTCTCAGCTTCAAGTAGTCTGCTGGCATTTGATTTTGTAAGAGTGTAGAACAAACATCATAGTGTGAAAAAAAACGAACACCAAAACATTTATAAATACACATAAAATTACAGGGCGTAGCAAATCATCTATCTATCTATCTATCTATCTATCTATCTATCTATCTATCTATCTATCTATCTATCTATCTATCACGTTTTGATCATATCTATCTATCTATCTATCTATCTATCTCGTTTTGATCATATCTATGTATCTATCTCATTTTGATCATATCTATCTATCTATCGATCTCATTTTGATCATATCTATGTATCTATCTCATTTTGTTTTTATCTATCTATCTCGTTTTTATCATATCTATCTATTTATCTATCTATCTATCTATCTCATTTTGATCCTTATCTATCTATCTATCTATCTATCTATCTATCTATCTATCTATCTATCTATCTATCTATCTATTTTATTTTATCTATCTATCTATCTATCTATCTATCTA